TAAAAAAAGAACAATATTTTGTCTACCAGCCTGCATTCTCTCGAAAAATTATTGAAGAAAATGTTCTCCCCAACATTTCCTTTAATAAGTTTTCTTGAGTATGCTGGCTGATAAATGAAATAAATACTGTTTAGTATAAATGGAGTGTCTTCTCAAATATGAATGTCCACTAAAAATAAAAGTTTGAAATAATATATACATACATATATATATATTTATATATATATATATATATATATATGTGTGTGTGTGTGTGTGTGTGTGTGTTTATGAACAAGGTTGATTAAATACAGCCGACAAGGAATGTCTTCTTAATGTTTTATTATATTTTTCTAATTTTCGAATAAGGTGTTGTTTATTGGGGCCGAAATTGTGGATAAAATTTCCGAAGTTCCTGTTTTTGATGTTGTTTTATTCACGTACTTTGGTTTTCAAATTATTTCGACACACTGAGACAGTCGAAAACGATTTCTTCAGAAACGTTTTTTAAAAAATGCACCGAATAGCAATGAATGTGTGTTAACTTGCTATAAAGCCATAAAAAAAATTCACGCTAAGCCATCTGGATCATTTTAAAGAATTGAAAGCAAAAAAAAGAAAAAAAAAAAGACTCTATCTAACCTGTCAGCCATTTTTGTTTCTCATGTCAAATCTATGGATTTAATTCAGCCCATGATTTGCAGGCAAATCATGAGTTGATTTAAAGTCTCATGAGAGACATAAACATCAGGACGAAAATATATTAAGCTTTTGGACCCTCGTCCGTTGAAATCGATAACAAACTTCATTATCCATACATATATATATATATATATATATATATATATATATATATGTATATGGCATAACTGGCGATATGTTTATTATAAAATCCACTATACACCCAATTCCATATAAAATCTTTTGGCTATCGAAATGATTTCAATTCATTAGCTTTTTTTATCGGAGGGTAAAATTTCTTCTGCACTTAAATTATAATCTCTAAATTCTAAATTGGAAACATTAAAAGTACATTTTATCAAAGAAATTTTCAAATTGCTTTCTTCTGAAATTTCAAACTCTCTATTTCAATAATTTGATGTGTCTTTTCCTGGTCACTAATTTTTTTATTTAGATATCGTCTGCATTTTATTACTTCAAACGTTGTTTTTACTGGCTACCCGCATTTGAGTAGACGCTCCGCTTAATTTAAACAGTATTTATTTCGTCTACCCGTGAAAACTTAATAAAGAGAATGTGGCTTCTAGCAGGACTCGAACCTGAGCCATCTTTGCAGGAGGAAACACCGTCTGATCTGGCGTGCTTTTACCGCTCGGCTACGAAGAACTTCGCAATCAAGCACGGCACGGTGATCAACGCTGCATAGGTATGACTGTCAGCAAGATGGAGGCGACTTTCAGAAGGAGATATCATACTGTGATTCTGGATTTAACAAAAAATGGTACTTACTGCTTCAGATTTTACTGAAGAAATACGAAGGTGGGCGGAAAAGTTCATAAGGAATGATGCAAGTGCTGTTAAATCTTGCATGCATTAATTTCAACTCTTCTTATTAATAACTGCATTGTTTCATTCCACGTAAACTGACTGTTCAAAGAAGACTTAAAATGTAACTAGTAGCGACTTCTCTTGAAAATGGACAAAATTTGACATTTCTGGTGTTATCAAGTACTTGCAGAAGAAAAGGGTTTAGATGCTAAGGACATTCATACTGTCATGATAAATAAGTTGACGCCCCAGCTTTATCAACAGTGCAAAAGTGGGCAACTAAATCTAGGAGGGGAAGGGAGAGTCTTGAAGATGACCCATGGTCTGGACGTCCTGCAACTTCCACCACCAAGGAAAACATTGATCGTTTGCACCACATGGTCAAGCATGACAGGCGATTGACTATAAATCAAATAGACAATGCTATTAGCATATCCTGTGAGAGAGTTGAGAATATTGCACAATGAACTTGGCATGCCGGAGATTTCTGCTCGGTGGGTGCCACGTCTTCTGACACCTGTTCAAAAGCGCACCTGGCTGATCACATCACGGGAAAATTTGACATTGTTTGAGGCAGATTCAGTTGGTTTCCTTGAACGTTTCCTAACCCGGGATGAGCTACAAAGAAAGACAATCCATGCAGTGGAAACGCTCCTCCTCACCTGCTCGAAAGTTCAATGTCGTTTCATCTGCAGAGAAGGTGCAAAAAGCATTGCGTTTATTGACTATCTTCAAAAGGGCCACACCATCAATGGAGAGTACTATGCTAACTTGCTGAGTTAGTTACAAAAGGCTATCGAGGACAATGCTCCAGTAGACAAATCCTTAGTTTCAAAGGTTGCTTTGCATGACTTTAACTTTGAACTGGTTGATCACCCTCCCTATTCCTCTGATTTGACTATCATATAAACTTGGCTGGGAACTAATATCGCAGTGATGATGACGTCATATCTGCTGTTGATGACTTTTTTGACCAACAGGATGAACAGTCTTCTTCGAACAGTCAGATGCCAGTTTAGCTGGAAAAAAAAACAATTCAATTATTAATAAGAAGTGTTGAAATTAACGAATAAATATTTCACAGCTCTAGCATCATTCCTTCATAATCAGCCTATGAACTTTTCAGCACACCGTTGTATGTCTAGCTTTGGCAAAACCTGGAGCATGGCTTCCTGTATTTATCCTGTGATAAACTTCACAATATTTTCCAGCTGTGTTTCCATGGGGTAACATGTTCAAAACGTGAAGAACACTTCATAACTTTCTATCCCTCATAGCTCTAAATAACGACTGTCTTCTCACAATCCCACCTTGCCTTGAGAGAATATAGGGCCTTAAACTCACGCTTGACCTCAAGTGAAGCTATTATATCCGATCCATCGCTAAAGACCATCGGCTCCCTATACCGCTCCAGTAAGCATCTTACTCCTCATGATATCCTCTACCTTTATAAGAAGTAGATCAGGCCGAAAATGAAGTACTGTTGCCATATTTGGTCCTCACTTTCCAGTCTTGATAGAGTTCAAAAGCGCCCCCCCCCGAGTCTTTGTTGGAGAAGAATTATTTACCATTCTCCAACCTCTCTCTCAAAGGTGGGATGTGTTGAGCATCACACTGCTCAATCTCTACTTCCATGGAAAATGCTCGCATGAGCTACGCTCTTGGTTCCACCAGGTCTAATCTTCACGGCTATGAACAGCAATGCCACTTACATAGTAGCAACCCTCCCCCGCATTTCCTCCGTACTCCATCGGCAAGAAGTAAGTTTCACTCAAACAGCTTCTTCCTGTGAACCTCTGCCCCGTGGAACAAACTCCCAAGAGGACGTTTCCCCGATCACTACAATCGTAACCTGTTCAAGTCTAGAGTTAATAGTTATCTTCTCCTCCTATCTATATAAACTACCCATTAACGTAGCCCTCTACCTCGAGTGGCCCCCGGGGCATGTACGAGGTGAACTTTACTGTAAAAAAAGTTCCTGTTTTGCCATCTATTTACACAAGTTCGTTAGGTAGGTTACGCGATGTTTCCCTCTACCCCGGTTATCTTCAATATATCTTGTGAGTGTCAAATTTTCCAAGCCTTCTTTTCTCATTAGGTGTTCCAGAAATTTCAGATGTTTCTTTCTGATTCTAAGTGTCCTTCTTGCTCACATTCTTCGTTCATGATATTCTCAGCATCCTTCTGTAGAACCACATCTCTGTTGTCCCTAGTTCAGCATTCACAGCCGAACAGGAGGATTGGCTGTTAAATAACAGTTTAGCACACTTTTTTGTTTCTAACGAAATTTATCTGTTTCTTAATACTTTGCTTAGTTTTTGAAGGCATCTTTGGCTATACCAATGCGCCTTCGGATTTCGGTGTCACATATTCCGTCCTCTGTTCAAATAATCCCCAGACTAATTCACTCATACATGGAGGAAGACTAAAATCGTTAATAAGTAAATTTATCGACGATACAATTACATTTTTTTTAGTCATTTCACCCAAGCAAGGCGATAATGCCACTAGGACGCAGGGAGTGAAAAGAGAGTGAGAAGTGAAGAAAATACAACAAAGGAACAGGGTTTAGGATAGCAAAAGATGGCGATTGTCGTTGCATTTGAATTTTTGAATATTGTAGGCGGTAGGGAAGCAAGAAATCAGAAGCGATTTCCACAGCTGAGAAGTGCGAGAAAAGAAACTGAGTAAAAGTGGCGGTTACATCTAACTAGTTCAACAGTAAAATGGTGAGACTTCGTTGCCAATCTAGTAACACGCTTAGATTTATGCACCAAGGAAAAAAGCTGATCAGAACAGTTGCCATGAAAATATTTGTAGAAAAGACAGATGGAAGCAAAGTCACGTTGGTGAGAAAAATGACTGAAGTCGAGATGCCTGGTCAGGATCGATTACATAGCAGACCCTTCTTTGAATTTTGTCAAGAATCTCGAGATGTACAGTAAGAACACCAGACCAGATATGGCGGAAATATTAAATGCACGGACGAATCTATTAATCTTACTTTATGTAACATTATATTGAATAATTTTATTTTTTATAGTTTATGGAGAAACCAAAATGTTTCAAAGCCTCCAAAATCAATAAAGGATTAGTTGCATCAGGAATCACAAGAGTCCATTGTAAAGTTATTTTGAAGCAAAGAATTTCAATTTCCAGATTCGTTTGACATATTTTCTCATCATTGTGTGTTATATGGAATTTGTGTCCCAAACGATTCGGGTCACTAAATTGATTCATTGATTTGTTTTTTACAGATTGTCAACCCTTTGCAGGTTATTTAAAGCCAGAAAATATTTTTGATTGTAAGAATTTTTTGGAGATCATAAGAATTTATTGATACAAGTATTGCGAATTACCCCATACCTGGGGGAAGGTTATTCCCTGCCTTTCCTAAGGGTTTTTACGTAAGTGAATATAACAAAACCTGACTGGAATTGGAACTTGGCTCTCCGATTTTCAATTCTGAGCCGTTATTTATTACACCGCCCACACATCCAAACTTACAGAACCCTTGTATTCCTAAACAGTCACCCATCTAAGTACTGACCAGGCTCGAGGCTGCTTAACTTCGGTGATCGCAAAGCGGTGTTCCAACGTAATATTATTGTAAGATCTCAGCTCACTAGAGAAATTGGTAATATAGAAATACTTGAAGCAGTATCAATAACAAATTTCATTTTCGTAGCTTCCAGAAGGTGTTAGTCAAGAGTCAATGATTCGTTAGGGGAGACAACTCTCCCCTAACGAATTATTGACTCTTCACGGAAAAAAGGTTAGTATCAGACAACAACATGGCTACTGAACAATACACCGCCTGTAGACAATGAATTGTTTATCCAACTCAATCTTGCTGTATTCTGGTCGGTGAGAATAAAAACGGATATTGTTGTTTTAAAATATATTCAACCGTGTTTTGTTATGTTGTTCCTAATATTTTGGGTTACAACAAATTTTTGGCGTCGAAGAAGATAAACACTAACTCACAAAAATGGCGATATCACCAGACATACTGAAAAAGATATTGAAGCAACAAGAATAGTTCCAAATGTCACAACAGACGGGTTTCACGAAGCTAATGCAGTTCGCACAATCAGTTTTCAATGTCATTAGAAAAGGGGTTCGTAGTTAGGATCTGGTAAATATTTGAAGGTAACTTTGCTTTTGGGGTCATCTGCACCAATTTTTACGTGTTCTTGTCTTAGTGCAAAAAAGAAGCGCTCTGTGTATTTTAGGTTTTTGTCCTTTTTAAAATGTTCTGAGTCCAGTCTCTTGGTGACATTGTTATTTTTTATCATATTTTTGTGAATGTCACGGTATTTGTTCTTCTCTTACTGCGAAGGTCATGGAATTAACTTTTCAATAAAGACATTACATCACCTAGTTTGTTTAATTGAGTGAGGGACAGTAATTTTGTGAAGCAATTAAATGTTCTATACAATGTTTTTTATTGGCATGAAAATTATAAGTACGCCAAGGCTTAGAATAATCCAAAAATTAAGCGTATTTTAAACACTAGAATGTTTTGCAACACGCGTCAGCCTGTTAAAATCCTCACAGTATTTAGTATTGTTGAAGTTATTGCTAACATTTTTGTCGAAATTTACAAACTCCACGTTTCGTTCAATTTTGCGAACCAATCGATGAAATTTGAATTTGTTTGGAGAAATATTTTTACAAAAACCCTATTTCGCAGTTTTATAATTTCTTTAATTTAATTTAATTTTATAGGACTTCATGGTAAACAATATTTTTTAAGAAAATTTATTTTTTTCTTTTTCCTTTTTAAGAGCGAAGAATAAATTCTTAAGATTTGTTACTCTTCTTGAGCATACAGGATACAACTGGCCATGCGTAAATATTTCTTTCTGGAGCTAAATTCTAACTTTTTTGAAGTCTTTTGGCCTTGTGTTTTTTTTTCATAGTTCTTACGAACAGGAAACTGGATTCTTGTATATAAAAACTTAAAGAAAAGATTAGCAAAAAAACAATATTGCATTTTTATTAAATAATGTTTAATCATTAAATTGTTTTTAAAATAGTAGTATTTTATATATTAAATAATAAAACTTTTAATCCCCCCCCACAAATAATAATTAAAGTTTATAGTAAAACCAGTTGTACTTTGTACCCCCTTACCTGTTTGTACTTCTCCCCAAAATTTGGTTTCGATCGGTGAATGAATGCCTATTTTAGAGGGTGTGACGGACGGACGAACGGACAGACAGCCTAACGGAACTCAAAGAATTTTATATATCGATAGATTCCGATTGTTTTATTATCATGAAGCTTATAAGCATGACAAGGCTCAGATTAGTTTAAAAACTAAGCATACTTAAACATGAAGCTAAGCTCAATTTTTTTTCGTTAATCTTTATTTAGTATGAAACGGGGTTAAGATTTTTTGAAGCAATTTAATTTCAAAGTAAAATCTCACTCCTTTGAAATAGTAAGCATAAAATAAGGCCCAAATTTGAGAATTTGCTAAGTATGACCAAGTTTCAGCTAAAATTACCTGATACTAAGAAAAAAATGTAGATGAATGTAATGCCTGCAGAAATTCATATCGTCGTACCTGCTCTGACACGAATACGATTTGATATCAGTTACATTTCTTGGCGTCTTGTGATAGTAGTTGTTTAAGGAAGGCTGTCCAGTATTTCAGATTTTGTCATTTTGCTACCTGGAAAAATAACTTTATCAATTCATTATATATTTAAGGTTCTTGCATTGAAGACTGAAATTCCGCGACAACTACAACAGGCAAAACTGAAATAACGGAGAAAAATGTTGTCAGTAAAACACCATTACCTTTTCCTGGTTACTCCGCTTTTGTTCTCATTGCTTAACAATGTTTCTGCTTTCTAATTCTTCCACACCCAGTAATCATTTGTGTTTTAGTGGCTTTACTGCCTTGCTTTGGGCGAACTCGATTAAAAAAAAAAAAATCAACACAAGTAAAATTTTGTTCGTCAGCCTATAGGATCCAGATCCTATATTGTTCTCAAAACTTCAAAAGTTAAACAAAACATAGGCTCCAAATCAAATTACACAACTAACGTAATTTCATTTGTTAAAAAATATCACATGGTATGTCGTCGACTACGTCCGCACTCTCAATTTGACCTGATCAAAGGTACAGTTGCGCCAAAATTTTAAAACATTTTCGGGGGCCTATCATGTGACTTATATTGCTTATATAAATAACAAACAAACAGGAGTCGGGGGGAAAAATCAGCCGAAAAAGTTACACGCTACGTGACGACACTCATCATAAAATAACTTTCAACTGAAATCCAGACTATAAGTTAAAATCCTTTTTTAACATAACCACAGTCTATTTCCTTCATTCAATGCAAACTAAACTCCCGTCAGCAAACAATGAAGCGACAGACATTCAAACGCCAAACACAATATAAGTCACACCTACACACGCTTTATCCACAAACTTTGAACTGTTTATATTGAATACAGACAATATTACATTGAACTGAATTTTTCCAAATTCAAACAAATTACCCTACAACTTACAGTCTATCAAACTGGAACATTACCTCACACAAAAATCTAAAAAGACAAGTTTATTTCACCATTTTAAACAACATTCATGACTATTGCTTTGTACATTTGTTATAAAAATCTATTTATTTGTACGATTTCTCTTGTCTGAATTTTCTTGTTTCTTCTTGTTATTATTTTGTGGATTTGTGTTTAATATAAATTAGAGAGGACAATTTGACCACCCACAAGCCCATTGTTGTTTTTAGTAGCCTAAGAGTTAAGAGGTTGTTGCGTGTTGACGAAAACAACTTGGTTCGAAGAAATAGACAAACAGAAGAATAAACAAAATAAAATAGAAATTGTATTCTATCGGGAACTTTTATCCTGAAATAGCGTGAACATTTAAGGAATGTTCTAATGATAGTCATTGTAAAACAAGAAATAAATGTTGTTGAACTTTGTTGCTGAGTGAACGAATAAATTAATATAGTGTCTAGTTCATGCATTGTGTTTTTTGGGGAGCCCGGAAATTCGCGTCCTGCCTATTTCGCGATGTTGTCCGAAAAAGTCTAACCTCTTGAAATTCGCGTTACGTAGGTTCCTATTTGTCCATAAAGATTAAAAAGATAGTTACAGCTAATAGATGTGTAATGATAACAAGAAAACGTGAGACCCTTAGAAGGCTTTAATGAACTAACAAGATGGCTATATTTTCTTTTGAAGAGTCAACAATAAAAGGAGGTTATTAATAGTAAGTCAAAAGGGAGATTACTAAGAAAAAAACTGTTCTCGAAATGAGACAGGTTCAGAATACCAAAAGGTTTTTTTTAACGCATGCGCGTTTAGCCAAACAGGGTGCAGCACCTGCTAAACCTTAAGGTGAAATTGTGTCTCTATTATAGAAAACCAGCCGTTCACTACAGTCCCCATAAATTCTGATGCTTTCATTGTAACATGCTGCACCGGAGTATCAAATCGTCTGCATTCACCATTTTTGTGTTGTCACTAAATTTTATCGAGGAAATTTAGTAGTTTTATATTCAAATGAACTTGATCACTCGATGCAGTTGTTATTATATGAATGATAAGTAGGTGCGTCCAATCGTATGCGAATTTTTTATTTTTTTTTTAAGTATGTTGTAACAGAAACGTTGCATTTGAAATATTGTTTTACGGAGGCGCCATTTTTTAACGGCCTTGGTAGATAGTCATTTTCGTAATATAATAAATAATTCACCAAAGATCGTACAATTTAAACCTGCAATTTAATTACACCTCGGTTTTTACAACGAACTGTTTGAAATGACGTGAAAATGGGCCGATATCCAATATAGAAATAGTTCATACAATTAGTAATTGTCATTACTCACAGGAAGTACAGGCATAGTATGTAGTTTCTGCTGTGAGTTTTCTTATCTCTAGTCGCTTCGCTTATCTCTTTAGGGAAAAGGAGTCACTTGGTGTAGATTTGCATAAACGAGCTGTCATTTCGTGTTTGATTGACTACGACCTGTTGCAATGTCTCATGTTTATCTTTTTTTTATCATTTCACACCAAGCAAGGTTATTGAGAATGAAAAAAAAACAAACTGAGAAAACATTGCTGAGAAAGGACAATAAAAAGAACAGGATTCAAGGAGAAAGAAGATGGCAATTGACATTGCATTTAAACATTTGAAGATCGTAGTTGGCAGGAAAGTAAGAAGCTGGACGAGAATTCTACAGGCGAGAAGTGCGAGAGAAGAAACTATAAGAATAGAACTTAAGGTTACACTTAACAATTTCAGCAGTAAAGTGATGAGATATAGCTACCAATCAAGTACTACGCTTAAATTCATGAAGTCGTGCTACTTAAGAGAAGAGATCATAAAAAAAACTACCATAAAAATATTTATAGAAAAGGCACAGAGAAACTTCGTTACGAAGGTGGGAACGTGACTGAAGCCGAGATGACAGATTAGGACCGATAACATTGCAAATTCTTCTTTATCTCTGGAGACATATCAGAAGCACCAGACCAGATGTCACAACAATATTCAATGCACGGACGAATAGTCGACTTATAAAAGTGGAAGACGTTCGAGTGAGAAAAAT